CTGCAAGCCTGCACTCTCCCGGTCACTTCAGCTGCTGCGCAAAGCAGGTGCGCTTCAAAAGCTGCACTTTTAGCAGAGGCTAAAGGTGAGTATGGGAGCCCGAGGACAATACGTTTGATCTCCGCGACTCATCGCCGCTACCCGGCTCAGTAGAACCGGGCCGCACCGTTAGAATAGCCACCACTGGGCTCAGGGCAAAGCAGCTCAGCAAAGGAGGCGAGACTGCAACTCACCCAGGTTCCCTGGCGTCCTTTCAACCAGCCGCCAAAGCTCAGCTCTCGCAGTTGCAAATGGCCTCATTTGCCACCCACTCGCCACTGAGGGAGGCAGCCGAGGCCCAGGAGCGTTTTGGCAGCTGGTTGCGGAGCTATTTTCAAGCAAGCAGCAAGTGTGTGTGTGTGTGTGGTGGTGGTGGGAATTGAAACTCCTGAAGGCTTTTTTTAAAAAACTTTTTTTGGCATGTACCATCTGAAAACAGGCAGGCCCTGCCAGCGGTGAGAGCCGCCTCCTCCTCTCCTTGTGGCTTAACTAAATGTAGGCGATTGCTTCCATGAGAGCCGGCCTCACTACCTCCCTCGCCTCTGAATCATCCACAACGTGATTCATTTATTCTACCTAAGCATGCCTGGGGGAGGGGGGGGGTCTGTCGAGAGGCACTCATCCGTATTTTCACGGTGGGCTGTTTGCCAGATGGCCTCACGTGGGCCCCAAGCAAAACTCTCTTGGGCTGGCTGGTTTGGAACCATAGGCGTTGAAGTCCGTCCGGTTGCAGGAGCTGGGTATGTCTAGTTTGATGAAAAGAAGGACCCTGATAGCAGTCTTCCAATACCTCAGGGGCTGCCCCAAAGAAGAGGGAGTCAAGCTATTCTCAGGGGCTTGGCATGCCAGCCTCAGGTGTCAGTGCCCAGAATAGACCAACGCCAGAGGCCAGAGTGGACAACGGCTGGCACCCTTCGGCATTTCCACGTGCCAACTCTCACACCGCTTTCTCTCTCTCTCTCTCTCTCCGGGATTTGCCTCCCTCCTCATCTCGTTTATCCCTTTCCCTTTTCGGTCGGCTGCTCCAGTTTCCTCTTTCCCTGCTTTCGTTTTCTGGGGGCAAAATCCTGAGCCTGAAACTTCATGGCGAAACCCTCATTTTGCGCTTAGGCCGATCCGGGATGTCAGCGTCTTGAAATCAGGTCCAGGGGGAGCTGCTCTGGGGTGGGGTTCCCCCCCACATCCCTCCTCCCCAGGGGGCAGGCTGTTTGCCCCACCCTGAGACGGCTGTGTTTACACTGGATGAGGGGAGAATTTATGTTCCTGTCCCACCTCAAACATCGGATGCAAAGGGGCCTCCAGCCCAACCTGTGACATAGATGGGTGCATATAGAATAGAGTGGAGTGGAATAGAATAGAATTCTTTTATTTGCCGAGTGTGATTGGACACACAAGGAATTTGTCTTTGGTGCAAATGCTCTCAGTGTACATCAAAGAAAAGATACATTCATCAAAAGTCAAGAATCATCAGGTACAATGCTTATCGACAGTCATAGGGTACAAGAAGCCATCAAATCATACTAGGAAACAGTCGATATGTATGTTTCTCCTTCATTCTGGTGCTCATCAGCCATTCCCAAGGCCCTTTGGCTTCCCCCCTGCTCCTTCTCTCCCTTTTTCCCCCTCTCTGGGGTGGGCAGGTGGATAAACCCCCATAGTTCTAGGTCTCCCCATTCAGACTTCAATCTACACCATCATGAGAAGATCTGCAGGTCCAGCTCTTTGGGGCAGATGGGAAGGTGGAAAACTTGGTTTGGCAGAGTGGGTCTCCCACAGAAGAATGCAGAGGCAGACCAGAGGGTTTGGGGGGAGGGTCACAACCCCAAAAGGACCCCCCCCCTTCCATGTGCTCAAGAAGTAACACCCTAGCCTGTTTTAAGAGGGAAGAGCATGCTTCTAAATTCACCTCCGTAGATTGCAACAGCTCATCCAGAAACATTTGTACTCTCATATTGTACTCTCAAATTGCAAATGGAGACGTGGGTACTCTGTTTTTCTTATCTTCATTTTTAAGTGCTTTGGTTTTATTGTATTGCGAACAGTTGCTGGGGTGCATCCACAGTTTCGTTGTACTTGTACAATGACAATAAAGTTATTCTAATTCTAATTTGGAGAGGAGCCCAATTCCCCCCTTATTTCTAGGATGTAAGTTTTGGAGGCCTCTCCCTTTACAGGGTTGTTCCCCCCTCCAAAAAAAATAAAATGGGGGGTGGGAAATAAAGATTTTTCTTCTCTTTGATCCTCCATCCCCATTTGAAACACTTTGGTTTATTTATCGCTTTACTTATTATTAAACTTGTATCCTGCCCATCTCTCCATTTCCATTTCCTGCAGACATTCCATTAATTAGCACCGATGATTAATTAGCACCCAGCTGCCTTTTTGTGCCCCTTCCTCTCTCTGTTGAGGTTGGATTGACACCCCCTGTCTTCCTTCCTTCCTTCTCCAGGAGGCGAGAGGGCCGTGCCCCAACAGAACCACCACCATCGGAAAGGAAACCACTGTCTCGGGCAGAGTTGCAACAGCTGGCAAGAGGAGAAGAGGACGTGGTGGAAGACTTGGATTTTTCTGATGGAGACTGATGGATGGACAGATTTTGGGGGGGTGTAACTGGACAGCTGTTGCCACTTGTGGAGGGCTGAGGAAGGGGCTGCATTGTTCCAGCTGGCCCTGAATCCCTGTTAATGCACTGGAGGGACATGCCAGAAAATTTTATCCTCCAGCAGGGGAGCTTAAAAAGACCACGATGGCTGAAAAAAAAACCCTGCCTCTTTAGAATAATAATAATGGAGGTTCTTAAAACCATTTCAAAACAAAACCTTCTTTAAAAAATAAAAACAGGCCAGCCATCAATGCTGCCCCTTCCTCTTCTGGGGGCCAATCCCACCCACCCAGCGCTGGAGACGCAGAGATGGAAGACCAACGTGCCACCACATTGCTTGGCTCTTTTCCTGCAAGTGACAGTATTTACAAATTTTTGGGAATCAAACAACAGCAGGAAGAGTTGGACTGGCAGCACATTGCATGCTTTGAATCCCCCACTGCCCCCAATTCCCCTATTTTTATCTCTGTATGGGAAGGGATCGTGTGTGTCGGTTCTCGGCTTGTAAAAACAGCCTCTTGTGCATTTCTTTCGGAGGCCTGGATCGCTCTGCACTGAAACCGCAGCGGGCAAAACGGCCAGATCCCGATGGAGAAACGTTCTTCCCTGCGGCTTTTACTGCATTGTGACCCACGCACGCCTTTCTTCGCCGCCTGTGTGGTGCCCACCAGGAACTGAGACCCCCCAACACACACACACTTGTTGCTTGAGGTCACC